GATGTCCTTGATGCTGCTGAAGAGGTAGAAGGTGCGGCGGCCGACGAAGATATACGAGAAGGGGTGCTGCTGCTGCTGCCGCTGCTGCTGCCGCTGCTGCTGCTGCTCTGGTTGCTGCATTTGGGTAGCTATGATGTGCTCGACGACAGCCTGCACAGAGCGACAGAGCCGGCAAGACACATGAGAATGCGACTCGCTTGGTGTGCCTCTCTCTCACGTTGGTTGTCTGTCCACGTCTGCATTCCTTGCTCACGCAATGGGCCTGAACTCGTAGACGATGGGCAGATGCCTTAATATGCCGTCGTAAAACGCCAAGGAAACGTAGCAAGAGGCGACTCCCACGCACCAAAGGGCCATCCAGATGTACCCCACGGCCCACACAAAGCTGGGCACCACGAACGGAATCGCAAACAGGCCCATATTATTGGGCGTCAGGGCAAGGGCAGCTCAACTTGGCTGATGATGTAGAGGTAACGGTAGCCGTACTCGGCTGAGCCAGGACAGAAGACTTCTCCAGAGACTGGGGGCTGCGAGCTGGAAAGTGCCCCCATACCGGCACGATTGCGGCGGGCTTAGCACGCCACCGGCTCTCGCATGACGGCCTTCCCCCAAGACCGGCTGCGTGACCTGGGCTTCGAGATATCCGACGGGAGGCTCTATGACGTCAACACTGGTGACGCGTGCCTCTGCAGGGGGGATTTGCACTGACAGATGGATGTGTCTGTGTGCAGGGGATCCCTATCGAGACCGAGGCGGTGCCCCCCACCTACAGAGGGACAAGATAATCGACCTCGGTACGGAAGAGAGAACACGCACAACGTTATTCAAAGGACCTTGCCTTGACTGCCTTGATTGCCTTGATTTGCCAGTGGGTTCGTACGTGACTTCCCTGCTGTCAAGAGAATGCCAGCTTATGCGAGTGTTCGTGCCTCTGGACAGCCTCACGGCCTACCTCTCCCTCACCCGCCCGATGCCCAGTGACTTTGACCGCGTCAAGCATGACATCCAGCGGGCCACTGAAAGCCCACCGAGGCCAGCGCATGAGGGCATCGGCGTGGAGTTCTGGATGTCGCAGGTGAGCCGGCGTAATTCGAAAGTCGGCGTTGCCCCAAATCATCTGCACTGGCTTGTGTCTCTGTTGTATGTGTTCAGGGTGCGGTGGAGAGGGCAGGGCGTGTGTTGGTGCTGATACAGTCGTCAGGTGCCAAGGCGTCTGCGGGCATGTGGGGCATCGGTGAGCAAAATGAGAGAATGGCCACAGCCCCCTTCGGCCATCCATCCCTTCCTTTTGTGGATGTGTATGGTGCAGAAACGTGCCTGAAGTTGGGGCTGAACACGGGTCGAAAGAAAAGGCCGCCAAGCGCGTGTGCGAAGGGATGCTTTCTGCATGGTTGTGTGGCTCTCTCAGGCACCATCTTGCCATATGTGGAGGCGGCGAGAAGAGGTGGCCTTGCCATCTGCCTGCTCCGGCCATGTCCCGTCGACGGGTCAGCAGAAGCAGCACCTCAACCCACCCGTAGTGATGTCTCTTCGCACCTCTTTTTTGCGCACTGCAGGCAGGGCCGGCGTGTGGAGATCCCTTTTGAGGATGAGGTGGTCCGCACCACTTGGAGGGCGCTTTTCGCCATCATGAAGTCGACACAGGTGTGACGAGACACTCACTGCTCTTGCTCAACCGACACGCATCCCGTTTCCTTGCCGTTTTGCTTGTCTCCAGATATATGTGCTGGCTTACCTGTATGGCGGTGAGGCCTTCGTCTCCCTGCTGGAGGCGGCTGCGGAGGATGAGGTGAATGAGGGAGGGCACATGATGATGTGTCTGACTTTCTTTCTCGTGTGTGTGTGTCATTCATGGCCCAGTGGCTGTCTCGCGTGCGATCAGTGGTGTTCTGCGACCCGAAGCACGACTTCAGAGACAAGGCAATCAATCACCGTGGCGGAGCTCCCTTCACTCACACTCTGCTGTGTCTGCTGTCTTCAGGATGCCCCTGGTAGCCTTCGCGAGTTCATGCAGCGGTGCATGGCCATGTGCCCCACACACCTGCCAAGAATGACGCCGCTGACGGAACATGCGCGCCGCTTCGGCTGCCTGACGGTCGCGGGCAACATCAACGGCGAGTCCATGATGACCGAAGCAATCGATGACATATTCCACTCATTCGAACAGGTCTCACATCATGACACATATCTCTCTCTACACACACACACACACACACACAACGCCTGTCTCTTCCATTCAGGCACGCCCACGCGAAGCCACGCCCACCTCTGTCCCGCCTCTAGCCTTCCCCGGTTCGCCAAGCCGCCGAGCAGCGTCATCAGCAGAGTTGACAGACACACCCAACGTCAAGCCACGCAAGCGGCCGCCCAGCATGGTCCGCGTGTCGAGCAAGGGTTCTGACGACCAGCCGCCGAAGCGGCTCGTGCCCATCAACTTGTCTCACAGAAACAGCACCGGCACGCTCAACCTCAGGACACCGCGGATGAGGAAAGACGACAGAGGGCTCTTCGCCACGCCTGTGGTGGCGAAAACGGGGCAGATGTCGCCCCGCCTCTCTGCCACAGCCGGCAAGGAGCGGCATATCTATGTGTCCGTGGCCACCCCCGGCCACCACACGGCGATGCGTTGCAAGGAGAGGACACACCGAATCGAGGGCATTGCCGCCGAGATCGACGCGAGGAAGCAGCTGTCCTTCCTAGAGAAGATCAGCAAGGTGGCACCACCAATAGAGGGCCCGCTTGCCTCCGCCAGGAGCCCACAGAGCCCTCGACTCGAGACCCACAGCGCACTAGTCAAGAAGAAGCCTCCGGTGCCTGTGCCGCCATTGTCGCTTCACGCCCTTTCACCAGCACCAGGGACCAATGCAGCAATCCCTCTGCGCACACAGGCTGGTGTCGGCCGCGGACGCAACGGTGCACTCATGACCAACCGAGACAAGAGCCGAAGACCGTTCTCACCTGCCCTTGACGTGAGCGTGGTGCGACCCAGTGCAAGGGGGCCGCTGAAACGGTACTCTCACGATTACCTGCCGCTTGCATTCATCACGTGTGCTCGTTTCTGTCAGGGCGGCGGATGAGGAACCGCAGCCCAACGGCCGACCCCACTACACTCGAGTCGGAGGGGGGTTCACTGACAAGTTGGCCGCGGCTTCTCCTCGAGGCAGTGTGATGCTTAAGCGACAGCTGGAGCTCTTGCGTAAGGCACAATCGCAGCGCGTGATCATCCGGGACGACAAGAAGGAGAGCCTCTCGCGGGGGGGCAGCACGGTGGTCGAGATGGCGGCACAGACTGACACAGACGAAGACAATGGAAGCAGGGCGGCCCCAGAGGTGTCGCCGCGGCCCAGGATGGCCGACTGTGAGGTGCAGTGCTTGATGAAGGACGCTGATAAAGACCTGCGGATGCTAAGAAGGTGCTGCTCATACCTACTCCCATTGCAAGTGAGCAGGCAGCTGAACAAAAGAAGAGAGGGAAAGAAAGGCACGCGACAGGCGGTGCCTCCTTGTGTGTCTCAGGCGGTGCTTGAGGAGGAAGGCAATGGAGCCGTGGCCAACCACCCGACCACACGTCCGGAGACCATCGACGAGCCACCCATGTCCCCACCAGCCAAGCAGATCCAGCCCACACACATCGAGTCCCCGTCAGCTGACGTGTCTCCCAACGCCATCGCACCCGCACAGGTGCCCTCTTCGCACGAGCCGCAGTTCTTCAGTGCACTTCCCCCGTCCTCCCGCCGCATCATGATGGCATCCAGCTCAATACAAGAGCTGCCCTCGGCTCAGGTCGTCAATGCACCGACTGTCTGGGGTGCGACGTCGGACGCATCGCCGCGCGGACGGCCGCCGATGCACTGGGACGGCGGTTCGCCCAAGGACAGCCTGGTCTTCACACCGCGGGATCCGCAGCAGCAGCAGCAGCACCAGCCGTTCCAGATTCCCCCGCTGCAGCACATGATACATCGGGCGTCGGCCACGCAGCTGATGCAGGTGGTGAGCAACAACCTGAAGGACGAGCCGGTCAACCGCCCACGAGCTGCACCAGCACCGGTGGCTAAGGTGCCCCCTGCATGCTCTTGGCGGCCCTATGCCGCCGCTGGCCCTGCGTATCGGCTTCCTCTGCATCCGGCCATGATGCCCTATCGCCACCACCACCCACATCAGCGCTGGCAGATTCGGCCAAGCGCCTCCATGGAAGTCCTCCCACCTTCTATGGCATTCAGGCCGATGCCCGGCGCATAGACAAAGGGGGAGGGGAGGACAGATAGGGTGGGAAGCTCTGTGTGTGTCTGTCTGTGTGTTTGAGTGGGATGGCATTTTTCTTCCCCCATTTTTCTTTGGATGTATCATAAGTGGCGCATTGGTTGACCGAAGAAGCATTCATTGGCCAAGGACAGGCAGTCAATGTACGCAGTCGCAAGTGTCCTAGAGAGCGATGTGGCGCATACGCACAGCCATCTCACGAATGACAAAGTCTATATATCACCCACATCTCTGTCAAAGCCCCAGTTGGCTGAGCGTCAGCCACAGCAATGTTGATCCCAACAACAAGAGGCCTGAATAACGATCACGCACGTGCACGGCCACGCATCCACTTTCAGGGCTCTCCGTTGTCCCCGAGCTACTCTCTGGTGTGCCTGTACTGCTGCTCTGACCATTCTCTGTGGGTCTCTCTGTGCTGCCAACGGTACTGCCGGTGCTGTCTGGGCTGTCTGTGCTCGTCCTGCCTGTGTCTCCTCCATCCAAGTTGTCATCGGTTGTCGCCGTACCTGCATTGTCAGGCGTCCTTGTTGTTGACGACCGAGTTAAGAACAAATCAGCCTCCATGGCATCCCGTACGTCCTCAGTAATCTTCAGTGTCACGCCGTCCGCTCCCAGCTCATAAGTCGGCATCGCCGAGCAGATTGCTCCCTTGTTGCTGCCACCGACCTTCGCTTGGGGGCAGAGGGGAGACACATACTCGATCGTGCCGCCTTCTGTGGAAAAGTCCGACGCATCAGCTGAACATTTGGTGTCTTGCCCGCCTTGCGCGCTTGGTTTTGTGAGGCTGTGGTAGTTGCCGCCGCCCTCGCCCCAGACGTCTTTGCAGTTGGTTGATGGCCACACATTGCCGGCGTAATTGCGATAAATGACTGCATGCCACGAACGAGACACACAGAGCGAGGAGAGCAAAGCATCATCCGGTGGTGTGTCTTCTCGTGAATAGCATGCCTGAGTCAGCGAGTGTCCACGCCCCGCCTCCGTTGGTCGCCACGGCAAAGCATACGTCCCCAATACTGATGTTATCCACAATGGTCAGGGCCTTGGCCTCCCCATCAGTGCTTCCGGAGACAACAAGCCCTGACAGCGAGACAAGACGGATGTGCGCCTGTTTCTGCCCTGCCGCTGCTTTCACCTGCCGTCAGCCCATCGGCACACGAGTTGCCCGATATTGCCACGTTGTCTATGTCGCACTCTCTCGTATTTGGCCCAATAAAGATGCTCGTGTAGGCTGACAGAGCAACACATCCATACCTTGCCCGTCCGTGTGTGTGTGTGTGTGTGATTGTGGGAGGGGGAGGGGGGAGAGGGGGGAGCCTGTCTCACCATCAGCAGTGTTGTTGGCGAATATGGAGTTCTCGATGATGGCTTTGCTGCCCTGCAGATACACGCCGGCTGCAAACCCCTGAAAGAATGCATACAAGCCGGGGTAAAGCCCTTTGCAAAATGGCATTTCCTCACCTGATTATCGTCAGGAAGTATGGCGTTTCTGTAAAAGAGGGCGTTCTCAATGGTGGTCTCGTCACCGCCTTTCACCTGCCATTCGTTGTCGGTCCGGAAGATCGATCCGCCGAATGAGTTGGCCTTGTTTCCGGTGAACAAGACGTTACAGAAGTACATGGCCTTGTTTTGGCCGTCGATTGATATCGCCCCGCCTGCATTCAAGCAACATCACAATGCGTGCGTCTCCCTCTTTGTGTGTCGTCACACCGTTGCCCCCATTGCCGGGATTGCCCTCCACCCCTGTGGCTTGGTTGTCAATGAACCAGCTGTTTGTCACGTGCAGCGAATTGTCTGCAGCAGAAAGGAGACACAAACTCTTCGGGGACCCCCGGTGCCTCGTGTTTCTGGCTTCATTACGAAGGTTGCCCATTGCCCCTCCGTTGCTGCCCTTATTCATGTAAAAGACAGACCGATCGACTTTCGTCACGCCAGCCAGGCTATATATCGCCCCACCGCCCACGTCTTGCCCCTTCTCGGGGGCGGCATTATCCCAGAACCAGCAATCGACCACTTCCAAAGTGCCGCCTGAAGAAACCCGAGTACGCATTGGTTTATTTGTCTTGCCTTCCTGTGTGTCTCCTCTACCACCGACCATATCTATAAAAGGCCCCTCCACCATCTTTCGTCTCGTCGCCAGACACCTGCTTAATGCTGCTCTTCGATCCAGTCAAGCCCAAGCCTCGGAGAGTGACCACTGGCACCGGCTCGTCCCACACCCGCGTGTTCATCACCAGCCGTGTCCCCTTGATGACCGCCTTTCCGTTGCCGTCAATGTAAGTGTTGTGCTGTGTGCTGATCTCTATTTCTGGCGTCCCCGAGAGGTCCAGAATCGTCACCTCGTCACACATGATCTGCCATGCCCGGTCAGCAGTTGCATCCTTCGACGCCAGGAGCTTCTCCAAGACGGCAGCTGCGGTGCATGCGACCTCTTCAGGCGAAGATACTTTGGTGATCTGCGGGCGGGTGCATGAGCTTTCCCTGTCGAGCTGGGGAAGGGGAGAGAGGGTGAGAGCCACATCTGCAAATCCGGAGAGGACCAAGAGGAGCAGAAGGGAAAAACGACCACCCATTGAAAGCCACAAGTCCCCCGGGTAGGTTGTGCAAAACGAATCTTGGGCGGCAACTCGTCACTACGGTGGAAGGGTGAAAGCGCCGCGCCTGAGACGGGAAAACCCCCAGCCCCCTCATCTGCGAGCTTAAGCGCCCAATCACTGAAGGGGAATCTCAAACATGACGAGCTTCTGACCCGCTCACACGTCCACTAATGCGTTCGCTTCTCGGCTTCGCTGTTGCTTCTGCGGTGGTCGCCGCACGTAATCTGCTTACCTCCGCTGCAGCAGCCGCCCTTCCCTCCTCCCGGCTGCTTATCGGCTACGCCAGCTGGGCGCAATGCGACGACAAGGTCATCCAGGCTGTCGAGGAGGGCGTCAATGTGGTCATCTGGTTCTCCATCGACCTGGCTGTTAACGAGACAACAGGACGCCCGGAGGTGTTTGTGCGGCCTGATCTGGATTGCATCGCTGAGAAGGCGGCGATACTGAAGGAGAAAGGTCTTGAAACGACGCATCTCATCTCGATCGGCGGCTGGAATTCCCCCCACCCTGACACCAGCAACACGGCAAAAGACGTCTATTTGGAGTTCGACAGGTGGAACAGAGAGGACGTGGCGAGGGGCGGCTTTGGAGGCTTTGACGGCATCGATTGGGATGTCGAGGGCAACGACGATCTGTCATCGCCCTTCAACGAGCTGACGGCCGCGTGCATCAAGCTGATGGGTGAAATGTCGCAGTTGGCCAAACGAGATGGCTACATAGTGTTTATGGCGCCGCCCGAGAGCTATCTTGACTCGGCCACCAGCGCCTTCAGCCGGTCTCTGCTCTTCGGCCATCCCGAG